CATGATAATTTTTGTCCATGGTGGTTACAACCAACTATTAAGCCAATGGGTGCCTGAAAAACCTTTTCGAAATTCGTGAAAACCGATTTTACTCGTCGGGACCCTGCCGCTGGCGCTTAAGCACGGGGTCTCGGCGCTTAGGCGCGGCCTTCTCTGTTTAATGAGTGCTTAAGCATCGAATTTAGCGCTTAGGCGCCAAAACTCTTTTGCACAATTTTTCACTTTTTTGCTCCAAATTTGATGCTTTTTCACACCCTTAAGCATTTTTTCCATTTTTACTTGTATCTGCAAGAAAAACACAAAAATACCTTCCATTAAAGCACAATATTTCAAAAATACCTTCCATTAACAAAAATACCTTCCATTAAAGCACAATATTTAAAAAATAGGTATAAAAATGTGTCTAAAAATACTATATATTTTAGGTGTATCAGCTGTTCTTGGTTTTGGCACTTCAAGCCCCAAATCTAGCTCTTCTGGCGCTAGCTCTCTGTCAAATGGCATGTCAGGCGCCAGAATCTCAAAACTTGTTGTTTTGGCTCCAAATTTCATTTTTTTTGCTGCTTTTTCTCCAAATGCCTAAAATTTATATACCTGCAACAAAAACATGAAAATACTCTTCTACATGAAAATACTCTTCATGAAAATACTCTTCTTTAAAGTGTAATATCACTAAAAATAAGTATAAAATGTATACTTAAAACAACACATTATTTTTGGTGTATCACTAGTGCCTCGAGGGGGTAAAGAATTATGTATGCTGCTATTTGTCACATTACCTTAATTTGTCTTAAATAATTTGAATCCTACATAGATTAAAATCTCTTTGCAAGGAGAAATGTTTTCCATAATATAGATTAAAATCTCTTTGATCCTACATAGATTAAAATCTCTTTGCAAGGAGAAATGTTTTCCATAATATCCAAACTCGTTGTTAAGTTATTGCATTTAGTTGTTACTTTCTTCTTAACTCTTTAGTAGTAATTTTTAGTAGGCATATCATTTTAGACCTCTTGTTTATTTAATTTGCAATTTAAATAGAAATTCTATAAGTTAATTTTAAGAGTTACCACATTCCTTGTTGGATCGATACTGGGGTTTTTAAGGAAAATCCTATATTACCTTAAATGATACATATACTTGCGTAGTACCCCTAATGTGAAAATTTATTATATAATTCATAAATCATTACATTTGTTCACACTAGTCGCTGGATATAATTTGAGACATTTGCTGGCAAAAATTTTGAGATTAAAAATACACGTAATTGTGGGTCAGGTCATACATGCATGATTTTTATAGTAGAAGAAGTGCAGAGGAAGAAGTCTCGAGCAAGCCTCCTCCTCGTCTCTTTTAAACTCCTCTACTTTCATTTAATTTAAGAATTTATTTTCTCAAGTTTAATCAGGTTGGGTCAACTCAAAAGCCTTGGATTAGGCTTGAGTTTGGGTTCGACTCAAGTTGAACCGAACCCAACCTAATCCAAACTCCCTTAGACAAACCCTAACCCAACTCAAGTCTAGCCTAACCCCTAGACCTAACCCAACTCAAGTCTAGCCCAAACCCTAAACTATTTCAGGTCTGACACAACCTAGATCTAACCTAAACCCTAAACCTTAAAGCCAACCCAGGTCTGACTCAACCCAAACCTGACCCAAAGCCTAAACCCAACTTAGGTTTGACCTTACCTAGACTTAACCAAAACCCTAAACCTAACCAAGGTCTAACCAAACCCAGACCTGACCCAAATGTTGAACCTAATGCAAGTTTGACCCAACCTAGACCTGACCAAAACCTTGAACTTAATACAGGTCTAACCCAACCCAAACTTGGCCTAAACCTTAAACCTAATTTTGATTTGACCCATGATCTAAACCCTAATCTTAACCCAAGTTTTACCCAACCTAGACCTAACCCAAACCTACACCAACCTGGGTCAATCCAGCTTAAGATGAGTCAAACACAAACCAAACCTAAGCTACCTTGAGTCAACCCAAGTTAACCCGGGTGAAACTAAAACCAAACTAAGCTAATGTGGGTCAACCCAGCTTAACTTAGGTCAAAGTTAAACAAAACCTAAGTCAACCCGGGACAAACCCAAGCCAGTATGGGTGACACCAATCCAACCCAGACCAAATTAAACCAAACCCAGCTTAATCTGATCTATTTTAGAGCCAGTCTAAGCCCAAATTAGTTATCTTATGCCATTCCTTCGCTTGACCTCGAGCTAGCCTATAATAGAAACCTAACATAACCTAGCTCAACCTTAGCCCAAGTTTTATTCAAGGCTTAGTGTTACTTTTTATGTTTTATTTTAGATTTTATTTCATTTTTATTTCACATGCTATTTCATGTTTTGTTTTCTTTCATGTGTTATTTCATTTTCAAAATTAAAACAAAAATAAAAAAAGGTACATAAAACATAAAAGCAAGGACGAGGACTTCTTGAGTCTCTCCTTAAAAATAAAAGGTAAAAATTCAAATAAAACAAAACTCAATACATAGAAAACCTTGATTTCTTAACATGACTGAAAAATCGAGGAGCCAAACAAGAAATAAATTAAAACATGGAACTTCAAATAAATATTTAAAACACATCAAGATAAAGAACAAGAATTAAACCAAGGTAGAACCAACATGAACTCAAGGTTGGCTAACTTAGACACCGAACCGAGCGTCATACACTTACCACAGGTTAGTCTGATTATAGAAGCCTCGGATAGTTCTGATATAAAGTTAGCGCTAAAGATTAAGACATGTGAAACAACAAACTTACCCCCTGAGACTAGAGGGAATACTTTAGAGTGAAGTAACCTATTATTACTGACGAAGGTATTTCATACACCTTTGAAGCTATGAATCCTCCATGCTCCAACATTTAAGGGGTATTCTTAGTTCTGAGGATTGTCGTAATCGACGGATACTAATGTTCCCGGGATGATGGAAATCCATCTGCATATCAATCAGATATGTTATTCCCAAAATCTTGGTTAGCCCACCCAGAGAATTCCTTACAGAGTTTAAGGTTACATTTTCTATATAAAAATGTTCACCTGACTCTGTCTTTAAATTAGGGTTTGCAAATGCACTTAGTCAAATCTAGTTTCCCAAATTTATCTTTTGACTTCACTCAATCAGTCCAAATTCATTAAATCTTATTCAAATCTTTCTTATCACAGGCCTTTCCCAAGACATGTCGTCATTAGATTGCATGTCCCACCCTTTTGGACTTAATTCTTTCAATTTTGACCCCCCCCAACTCCAATTATGAAGACTCGATATTTGACCATTCAACTTATCTTATTAACTGAGAAATTTTGTTTACTGCTTACGACTCTAATGATTTCAATTTTGACCCCCCCCCCCACTCTAATTATGAAGACTCAATTATTGACCATTCAGCTTATCTTATTAACTGAGAGGTTTTGTTTAGCACTTACGACTCTAAAAATGCAATCACTTATCAGGGCTTGCCCTTGTAAAGAACAAGACCCCATAATGAAAATAAACCTTATCTGACACACAAAAGGTAAGAGAACAACCTTGGCTCCATATACCCCAAAGATTTCTTTTACCCGAATGATTGAATCCATTCTAAGGTAATGTCTATTTCTTTCGAGATAGTACATTAGTTTTTTGAATACCACAGTCGATCATTTAGATAGTAATCTTTTGAGATCTATGGTAGTCCTAACGCAAAAAAAAAAAAGAAAAACTCTCCACGAACTATAAGATCGAATGACCGACATTAATTCCACTTAATCATATGAGATTTTTTTTAATTTAGATGACCTTAATGACCATAGAATTAGGTGATCTTAGGCTCGTTGGATTCCTCTAATTAAAATGCTCGATTGCATTAATTATAAATATGTTAAATTCAGAGATTATTTGACCCTCCAAATAATCATTGAAAGCTTTTAAAAGAGTTTTAGCGGCTTGATTCTTGTTTCATTTAACATGGATTGGATAAATTTTGGCATCACTGTGCTCGTTTCGTCGAGCCGGTTTGCCTTACTATAAGTTTGCTAAAATTAGAGTTCCAGAGAATTTTTAATTTGAATTGGAATTTTTTTTGCTCAAAAAAAGTATTGAGATTCATTAAAAACGTCTCAAAATTCTTGTCAAACAATAAAAGTAGCTGATGATCAATTTAAAAAGTTTCATTTATTTGAAGCTAACTCTAATATAAAAAATAATTGATTATTCATATGCTATACTTATTCCAAAATAAATTCAACAATTTACTCAATTTGATCCAACAACTATTCCCGACTCAATTTATTTTATTCCACTATTTTTCTTCTCCTTTCAGAAATAAAAAACTGTACCCAACTTAGAGGCACAAACGTGCCAACTTGGGCTCCCATCGGTTCCTTCAACAACCCCAACCTCATCAACTTTGCACTTCAAAATTTAATTTTTTTTAAAAAAAAATCAACAAACAAGTGGTACATCCTAAAGTTTATTAAAAAAAAAATAAAAAAGACTATATAATTTGGAAGAAGCAAATTGGCACGTGCGTCAGACCCGCTCATTCACCGGCCAGCCCAACTTTATCATCGTCATGTGTTAGGCACAATTCGTGCATATAGAAGCTCGTTCCAGGTATCCGGCAGACCCGGTAGGCACCAATGAATACAATCGGCATAGACCAACGGTTGGGCCTTTTGCTCGGCCGTTAAAAGCTTTCCTTGCCGAACCGTGTGCACTGACGTGTGTGCATCTTTACGATACTCCGATAGACCGGTGATATCAATAAAGGTCACCACTAACCCGCGGATTGATCTGGTCAAATTGGCCGCCACCACATGCAATCGCCGGTCCGTGCCGACATTAATTGGACCGGCATAGTTCATTATTGGCAGCTTCTCCATCGCACACTTAACCCCAGCCGGGTTGCCCCAGTCGACCGGCCTGTGGGAGAAATTTTCGTATTGATTAATGATTAGTGGTTAGAACTATTTATTAAGAAGAATAATAGGGTGGTTTGAATGATTGAAATATTATATTACGAGAGTGGTTCACCAAACAAGGACTTAATCAATTCTTCGTAGCCAAATTCTTGGCATCATTGATTTTAATTAGGTGATACAAAGCTATCAAATGACAGATAGATAGCCAGTGCTAGCTTTACGTACAGCTCTATCAAACAAGTTGATTCATGCATATTAATCAACATTTATTAGTGTTATTTTTGGTTGAATGACCTTTGGGAAGTTCAAATGCCTGATTTGGTATTTATTAAATCAAAAAATATTTTTTAATGATGGTAATTTCTTGGTGCTTAACACGTTTTTCATGTACACAATTATGCTCCAACATAATTTGAATTTATGATTGGCCAATTAAATCATTTTACTAATTCAATTTTATTTCTGAAAATGTTGAAAATTGTGTCGTTGCTCGCCAGCGAAAGAAGGATAAGCGTTGCTAAATTCTTTCGGGCACTTGATTCCTCGCTTCATTAAGTTCGAAGGCTGTTAATCAGTTAACAGGTTTGTTTCTTTCTTTTTATATCTTTTAATCCTCAAGATTTTTTGGCTGCTTTGATTCAGTTAATGGATTTGTAAAGTACACACTAACACTCACTCACACATACATCGACACACTACACCATTCATATGTATTTAATATTTATATATTTGTTCAACCCAAAAATATCAAGGAGTCACACTCAAAGAATAGAGCACGTGAGATGAGTTGAAGAAAAGAATGAACAATAGAAATTAGTGTCTAGCACCTTTCTTTATTAAAAGGACTCTCTATTTATAGGTATGGGAGGTACCCTAAATATAGAATTAACTTTATGTCATCTTCTTATATAAAGGAACTCAAGGGTACTAAAGTCATTTACATAATTCATTATAAAACTATACTTTTCACTAATGGGATGATCTCTCACTTGTTCAACTTGCTACCATTCAGTCGTCTCTGAGTTGGACGTATTATGAGATGTTGGTGCGCGGATTTCTTTTTCGGCTTCTCTGGCGTTCCTATAGCCGTCA